ATAATAGGCAGTAATGATAACGTTAAAACTGTCAACAATACATACATAGATACATACTGGCATAAACAAAATTTTGTATGCAGCGGACATGCAGATTAGATTAAATGAGCCTGAATTGGATATTCTGTAGTCTCTTTTATCTATTTGCTTTCTCCAGCGACTCCTAATAACACATTTTCTGACGTGCTAGATGTTGAATTTTTTGCAGATTAATGCGAGATTGTTCTCCATACCTAATATGTTCATGTCTGTGACACATCAATTCAAAACATTTCGTTTTAAATGTATGGATCATTACAGGGTAATTTTTTTCAGGACTGCTTTTGTGTTTATGAAATTGTTTACTTTAAAAAATGAGAAACTATCAGAACAGACGATTTGACTGACATCTTCTTCTGTAAATTAAAAGAGACCACTAGATAAGACACCAAAGAAGTCTACAAAGACGATTGCACCCCAATGAGTTGCACTTCCTGTCTAATCTACCCGTCAGCACCAAGCCTTTTCCACATTTTATCTACTTCCTGTAAATCTATGCTTCCCGCATCTCTGTTTTTCAGTGCTGACATCCCTGAAGTGACGTGACTGACTAACATGTCCGAACAACACTCTGATGGCCTTTAGAGACAAAGTCCGTTTGACACCTGCACGTCCCGATAACACCCCCACATCAATCAACTGTTTCCTCACTCTATCAATCTCAATCTGTCTGACACCAGAAAGAGAATTTCACAGCACCCTCTGATAGCACATGGCATTTGTGCAGCGTTGATTGAACTTTGGGGACGTGAATGATTTAATCAAAATCTTAACCTTTGCTTTGGTTAACAGTTTAGGTTTTCTTATATTCATTTACAATAGCTAAAAGATTACGCCAAACATTGCGTCAAAATAGTGCAACATTGCCTGCACAAAGCAAGGTTCAGATTGCAAAATGTGGCTGGGGACATTTCTCAGTGATGACTAGTTAAATTGCACTTGTAGTGTTTTCTCCTAATAGCAACACAACACCGCAGTATCTCCTAGAAACCAAACTAACATAGGTAAACTTTTGTTTCGGCCAAGAGCTTTATCTGAAAATCATCATTACAGATTACATTACATTTCGGGATGTTCAGTAGTACATTTACAGGGCAGTATTACAGGTCTTATTAGCTTTTGTCTGCACAGCATGTCTGTGTAAAAATGTCGCACTATTACTTCAGCTAAGCAATAATCTGACCAACACATGACACATGCAATGTAATAAAGGAGACACTTGTGAACTTATTTCAAATGAACTGTAGTCCTTCTAGACAACTTATTGAGACGTGTGGGTGAAGATGTGTCACACGCTTGTAATGTGGGTTGGCATGGCAACCATGTGTCACAGCCTGCAGATTCCATTGGTTACTAACTTGTATAACTTGTAAGGTATCTCCTCATGTCACAAGTATTTGCTTTGTGTTTGCTGCATAACAGACTTCAGCTGAATGGACTATGAATATAATTCATCATTAAACTATTTCATTATTGTTCATTTTTTTATGTGCTTGAAATTTGATCTGTGGCTCTTAAAAAGTAACATGCTCATAAATCACTAAACAACCTAGAATATTGTTGCTGCCACTGAACCATGAGAGGGACAGGAAGTGCAGCTCAAGTCGTCACATCTATTTGCCACGCCTAATTGATTCGGGGCTGAACATTTGTGTGTTGAGGTGGCTCTACAGCCCCCTCTGCGTCAACCTCCAGCTAAAAGCTCCTGCTTTCCGTCACTGCCTGTCTGTAGAGCTGGAAAAATAATTAGCTGACGAAACACGGCGGGACCTTTGACCTCATTTCGATGAACTCATTGTGCATATCTTTTTGGTAAACTGGTGTGAGTGTCCGCTCAGCGGAATAAGGAAAGGAGGAGGAGTAAGCTCACACCACTCACTGAAACACGCACACATCCCAGAGATAAAGGCAGAGGATGCAGAGAATCGATGACAACCAAGTCAAAGATTCAGTGATCTGTAATGAAACCATAATCCCCTGAAATAAACTGCCCAGCTTGCTCATATTCCTGCAGCTCTTCAAGTGTGTGTCCGCCTGAGTGTGCCTCTGTGGTCAGAGCAAACAGTGGTTGCTAGGTAAAGATGGATTATACTGCAGATCTGGTGCAGACCTGTTTGCACACTGCCAGATGACCAGACATATCAGTCATTATCAGCTCTGACAAGTTTAGAGCACAATGACTAACAAGCTCACTCTATAAAAAAAGAAAAAAGAAGGGAAAAAACAGTGTACACTGGAATGAATAAGTCCATTACTATAGTAGTGTTTTTATTTTCATGGTTCTTTTGTGGTTCTTTATTTATACAGTTTGTGTGCCATGCACTGCAGCTAAACAATTTCTATTATGTCCATAATCATGGTACTTTTGCCTCTGGGTCATTGCACCTAAATGCAATCAGAGCACACTAAAACAGATTTTCCATTAGTAAACAAACTCAACAGCATCTGTGGCTATATAACTGTTACAAATAGCTACCTGCAGTCAGTGGGGGCAGCATTGTATTTTTACATGGAAAAACTATTTTCTTTCTAGATTGTGCAAGACAACATTTACAACCCATATGCTGGTTTGGATTTGTTTTAATGTACCTCTGCATGTGTCACACCGTGACGACAGAATCTGAGGTTCACAGGATTTATATTAATTATAAATCTAGCAACTCTGATGATGCTTCACGCAATTATTAACGCCGTTCCACATAACAACAATTCTTTCTATAATACCAAATGTTGCATGGTTTGCCTCTTTTAAAAAAAAATGTATTGTTGCATTATCTTTGACAAAATCTGTAGATAATTTTAGGGACTCAACACTGTCCAGTGTATATGGATGTATTTTTGCCATATTTGCGTTTGATTTTATATTTACCAGACTAACAAATACAATGAACTCTGTAGCTCACAACTAGGGCTGCCACAAACGATTATTTTGATAGTCGACTAGTCACCGATTATTTAGTCGACTAATCAGATCATCATCCACTGGACGTAAAACGTACAGCTTATTGCACCAGCAGCATCTGCTCTATCATTAGCTTACAGCTTTAAGTGTGACATGTGCTAACTAAAAATAAAGACATGCTAGTTTATTAAATTTTAATGAAGTTTGCAGATTGTTTAGGTGAAGTTTAATAAATTCAGCCGTCTGCTCCTTGCTATCTAAAATATAACAGGACACCAGAGTATGTTCTCCAGCATCTCACACTTCTGATAATCAGCTGTCTGCTTGATGTTTACTCAGCTGTGTAAGAACTATAACTTTAATCTCAGCCAAACAGATTTACTCAGGAACAAATAAAATACTGAAAAAAGCCAAACAATAACATTTTAAGTTATCTAAGTGACTCATACATCATGTTTGACCTGAGAAGCGAAAAACGATTTGCCGGGAGTCCGGTGTTCTCACGGGCTCTAGTGACCTAGCCCCCGGCTAGCTATCGAGCTAGTGGGTAACAGACGTCTCCGAAAACGTTGGAGCGCTTTTGAAAATATGTGGTGTCTTGATAAACTGAGCAGATATTTGAGGTTTACACAGCTACATTCTCGCCTGAAAATATGTTAAACGTTTATTTTGTGACCCAGAAAGAATAATAAGAGTAATATTAAAACTAACTAGCTGCCGCCATTGTTGACAACTGAGCTGGGCTGCGCTATGAATTCTGGGACAGAGCTACTTCTTCTTCGGGGTTTAACGGCAGCTGGCATCCTTGTACATGCAGTGCTGCCATCTTCTGTTTCAGTCCGTTATTACACTCTTAAATCCTACTACTTATTCCTGCGTCTTTTGTGATCTTACAAAGCTTCAAACTACAAATCAGTCGTTGACGATTTGACTAGTCGACTAATCGTGGCAGCCCCTCATGTGGCCAAATATACACATATAAAACAAATATTCAGAAAAAGACTATTTAAATCACAACTAATCAAAGCTGCAAATAGACACTAAAAACATAACCAGACTAGAATCAACGCACAATAACCTTTAAATATTCTCACTTAATGGCAGCACTGTCAAAACCTTTGTATCATCTGGTTTAGATACAGGGTGAAAAAAACACAAATATGAGAATAATAAACATTTACATCCTGTGTGTGCTTATACCAGAAAGATGCTACTAATGTCACCTGTCTCTGAGCAGCACTGCTGTTTCTGTGACTCTCAGATCTTCAGTAACTATCAGATTTCCTTAGAAGCAGTTTTATATAATATTTATGTAAAAATAATTATAATTATATACAAGAAGAAAGAATTAAACCACGTTATTGTCTCAGCAGCTTTAAATCAGAATATTGTACTATTGTGAGAGCAGTCTCTTATATTTAAAGTATAGCTTCCTTTTAGATTATGATTTCACTCTGCTGTCAATGGACTTACGAAATATGAAACATTATTACTGTTGTTTGACAGCCATGTCCACCTCCACCTGCTGCACTAAAGCTGTATCAGTCATTACGCTCTTATCGTGTAAGCTGAAATAACATAATGCTGAGCTAATAAATAATAAATTGTCTGGTTCCATAAATATAATGTTGGGATTTTGTCCTCAGTTAGTGGAAGAACCATTTCCCCCTTACGGGCAGCTCCGTGTTTGCTTTAGTTTTATCTCCTCGTTCTCTGACGTGAATCAGTGGTGTGGACGAGGAGCTGTCCGCGGTGCTGAAACCGCTTGCGTGTATGTGTGTGTTGGCAGAGTGGGATGTTTCGTGAACTGGGACAGATTTCCCTCATCCACGCTACGAGGTGCATCCAAAAGCACACGAATAATGGCACAAACAAATGCGTGTACGAGAGACTGCGAGGACATTTGGCTCATAAGGATAAGCCACCTTAAAGGGGATCACATAAGACTTCTGTTATTGTTGTTTTCTTCCCGGTGTCTCCTCTTTCTCCTCCTCCTTCTCTTCCTCTGGTTGGGGTGGGGGGGCACTGAGAGATATTTTTAGTCCGAGCCCCCCACCCCCACCACAGTTTGAGTTACATCCTCGGAGACTTGCGCTCACATCCCACCAAAGGTAGACGCCAAATTGACGTCAGAGCACCAGTAATTTGACGTGTGATCACCTCCCTCCTCCCCCTCCCCATCCCGACCACACGCACACCCATGCAGCGCACAAGCCATCCCTCCCCATCACCAGTATTTCCTCTCCTTGGCGGACCAATAACGCGCAGTTTCACTCTCCCTCCATCTCAGCCAGCGGTTTCTTCAAGAATAAACTAAAAAAGAAGAAGAAGATTTATTTATTATCACTGCACGGCGTTCATATCTGAGAATTCTGGCTGCTTATCCTGTCTTGGAGGGAATCAAAGCATCTTTGTAAATATTTTTCCTCTCTGGTTGAATTACCTCTGACATGGAAGTGAGATGTCGTCCGGTGGTGATGTGCTGTGTTTTTGCCGTTCTCTGCTCCGCGCTTCCCCGACAGTCTTCTTACGGGGACAGACAGTACCTGAACGAGTGGGCAGTGGAGATCCCGGGCGGGCTGTCCGCTGCGGAGGCGATCGCCAGAGAGCTGGACTACGAACTGGTCCGACAGGTAGGCACCAACGCCCAGCGGCAATATGCGTGAACGAGTCTAAAATTAACTGTGTATTGGCAGTTTCCGTATTTGGCAAGAAATGAAGGCAAACTGGAACCAGTACAGAATTGTTGCAGGCTCGTTTTCATGTAACAAACAGCTCATTTAACAGTTAGAAATCTGAAAGCAGTGAGTGAAAAGGTAATTAAACGTGGTGCCGACAGTACAGGCTGTGGGCTGTGCTCAAACAACAGACCAGCAGGATATAGCTCTGCCAGTTACTCTGGTTTTTCTTGGTAAAGCCATTAAAGTTGAAGCTTATTGGTTTAACGATAGCCCTAAAGCACACACTGCATTTTTCATTAGAGGAAAATTATTTAATCAAGCTATGACTCACTGTTTACATCCTTCTGGTAACCCATACCTGGGAGTCAGGGTTTTAATATCCCTGCTGTGTGCATCACTGCTTTTCCTGTTACTGGAGACTGACTAATGCAGACCTATGCAAACATATTACACTGAGTCTCAATTAGAAACTCAATTCATTAATTCTTAGTGATCCCCTGACTTTGAAAAGCAGCGGTCAATGATTAACTGATCTTCCGTGTGTAAATGTTATAAGCAGTGTTCATTTGTGCAGTTTCTCCTACGTGAATTCAGTATGTTAGTCTACACGTTTCCAAAGAAGTTTGAAATAATTGCATTCATCCTCATTGGAAATGACATGTGATTGGTTCAGCTGTGGAACAGACTACGAACAGTAATCAATAAAAGCTTTAACAACCTTAAAGATCAATGTAATGTATCCAAATGTGAGCTTTCATAGCTGTAGGCCCCTTTTCTGTAGGCACTGCATTTTATTTGCTTCCAGCTGTAAATATTAGAAACAAAAAGTGTAAATAGGCTGATTTCTAATGATGCAGTTGGTCACATGCTGTAAAATGAAATAAATGAATAAAATATCACTCCTATCGCACATCTTGTCTTCTCCTCGGCAGATCGGGGCCCTGGAAGACCATTTTTTGTTCAAGCACCGCAGCCATCCTCGCAGAATGAAACGCAGCGCCAGCCACATCACCAGGCAGCTGTCCGAGGATGATAGGGTGAGTGGATTGTCTCTCTCCTAGTCTAACCTTTAAAGACTGAAAAAAACAAAATCCAATGCCTTCATCTATCTGTGTATGTGTAGGTGTTGTGGGCTGAACAGCAGTATGAGAAACGGCGCAGCAAACGAGCATCCCTCAGGGAGTGCAGGGACTGCCCGGTGGACAAGCTTTTTGATGATCCCATGTGGAACCAGCAGTGGTACCTGGTGAGTTACACTGAATTAAGTCTCAAAGTATAAAACATTAAAACATTTTGTACTCACTAGAACTCTTTAAACGCCAGATCTAAGTCGGCAACCACACTTCAACTCACATTGTGTTGTGTACTTTGGGCTTGGTTTGGCCTTCTGTTTGCATGCACCCAGTCTGTCTACCCATGAGACATATATCCCAAAGCCCTGTGAGTGCTGGACAGCTCCCTACAGTTTCTGCTCTGTCCCCACAGAGCCCTTGTGCTTCGAGAGGGGGATTAATGCATAAATATATATGCAAAATTTGCACTCTCCGGTCTACAAAATGAACAGCAAACGCTTCCATTTGTTCCCATAACCTCTGCCCAAAGAGTAGAGGAAAAACATGACAACAGTGAAACAATAGCATGGTATCAAGCAGTTCTTGCCAAAAGAGCCATTTGCTTAATTGGTTATCCAGTCCCTCATGGAGATGAGAGGGATGGAGAGACTATAATCCAGCGGGATGGTGTAGAGTAGAACATTAGGTCTCAATTTACCCTCAATTGGATGTTTTAGCCCTGTGAGGCCAAGTAGTAGCATACAACAGTAGCATGTCACAGCATCATATCCCTTTCCAGATCCATTACTACCATATTCATTTAAACCCTGAGCACAAACTGACCCCAACATCTTCATAGAGTTTGATCCATAAGTTCAGGACTTTTAGCATGGTTGAATGCAAAGTGCCTACTATTGCAGCTGCTTGGGTTTTTGTAAGTTTTTCAGGGCAAAACACAGCTTTTTTCTTGCCTCTTTTTTAAAAAGAGATGTCTGGCTTTTTTACAAAAATCATTCAAATTCTGATTAATTGAATTAATTTTAGCTGATCAATTGAGTCACTGCTTTTTCTCTTACCCAAAAGGAAAAATAATAACCCTTTTTTTTTCAGAGCGGTCCTTTTATCAGCAAAGTAGGTGAACACAAATGTCGCTGATCATAATAATTAACTGACCCTAACGCTTCTTTAAAGCGATCTGCAACACCTGCCTTACCTACGTCAAAATGGCTACATAACTGTGTGCGGCATATGTGCTGGTGTGTGAGTTTAAGGTGAAAGAAATAGAGAGCAAGGGATGTGCATTACGCTTAGCCCCGACTTTTTTGCACCTGCACTAACTGAACATGAGTCACACGCTTGTGCAGAATAAGAAAACAAATTGAGATGAATCATTTTTGCCGATGAGGGATGATGACACTAATGGAATTGGCCTTAAAGTGCCGCTTAGTGTATTTCCACATCAGCCTGTGTCTGTGCTGCTGCACGGCCCACAAGATATTCCTCCTCAAGCATCATGATTTATTCACTTCCTCCACTCAGCACGGACAAAAGCAGAGGTAGACAAAGCGATGGTCTCAGCCACTATAGTATAATATGTTTGGGTTTTTTTAGCTCTAGTGTATGCACACACAGACACACACACACACACATAATAAGTAGATAATAAGCAAAGAAAAAAAGAGTGCTGAATGGTAATAGAAGGTTGCAGTGTGTGAGTAAAGCAAAGAGGTGCGACAGGTTACAAGACTCGATGATCACTGATGCTGGATTTGAGGTGGAGCTGTGTGACGGGGGCAGAGGCCAGCATAATGGCAGGGGAGGAGAGCTGGGATGAGTGTCGTTATCTATCGTGAGTGGGTGACTGCCTGAATTTAATCAGAGAGTGACTCATACTTGTAGCCTGAAATCCCCCCTGTTTGCGCGGGTGTGTGTGTGTGTGTGAGTGTGTATCCATGGCTGTACATGTGTCAGTCCACTTTAATTGTGCATCGAGGGATCTTTGTTCTGTGGTTTTAAGTCGCCACTCATTTGTTATATGTGCAGTGAGCGTGGAGAGACTTGAGAAAGCTGCTGCTGTGTTTACCATTAAAATCAATGCATTGCAGGTTACTGAAAGACCCCCTCAGCTGCTGTCAGCATCAACAAGTGAGTCATTTGGTCACACTGAGACAGGCGATGTGTAACTATGTGCTGTCTTGGGCGTACAAGCCGTTCTGACAAACTGCTGGTGAACAAATGTTATGTAAAAGTGTGACAGTTGTTGTGTATTTTCTCTGAGATTTGAGTTCTATTCATTGTCAGCTGCAACTGAGAGGATGGGGTGAAAACAGGGAACTGAGGTGGAAGTCGGGGAGGGAGGGGGGGGAAAAGGGAATATATCACAGGGATGAGTCACATCTTGGGGAAGCGTTCTGCAGTGTCTGTGCATAATGCACAAAGAGCAAAAGAGCAGAGTTCTTTTTTTAGGTTTAACTGTCTCCAGCTCTGAATCATGCTCTTCCCAAAGCAAACAGGCTTCAGCCCTGCTCCCTCTCCATCCACCCCCTGCTGATTTTCCATTTAAAACAGGCTTGATGCACTCCACACTGTGTAATGTTATACAGCCGCAGAGATGGATTTCTAAATATGCCGACAGGGGGATTGAATGTGTGTCGAGGCAGGAAAACCAGAAAAACTGTGGGCTGACACACACTTCATCTCCAGATATTGTTAGGCACTTTGAGGGTTAGGCTAATCAGCCGATTTGATGTTTTTGAAAACACAAAAGCCTGAATTATATGACCTTCCCATAGCAATCTGTTTTCAAGTGGCCCAGCAGTGAAAGTGAAGTGACAAAGGAAATGCCTCCAATTCGGTAATGAATTTCGGTAAAGGTCAGTGGAAGAACCAGGAGACTGGAGAACTTTGACTGACCGTTGCATGATAATGCTTTAACAGCCTGACTAAATGAAGTGGTCGTAGATATTTCCCACGTAATCTAACTTGAAATTACTCGTGTGTCATTTTGTGATGTCGTGCCTCTCTTCCAGCAAGACACGCGGACGTCCTCCTCGCTGCCGAAACTCGACCTGCACGTGATCCCCGTGTGGCAGAAAGGCATCACGGGGAAAGGAGTGGTCATCACCGTTCTCGATGACGGGCTGGAGTGGAACCACACAGACATCTACTCCAACTACGTAAGACACCGTTTCCATGGAGACAGCCTCCGTAGTCTGGGTCTGTCGTTTCCATAGCAATGCTGCTGGTGACACCTTGCAAGACGACTCATAAAGGCAGTATTAAATCATCTATATGATAATGCCTACCTCAGAGGAGCTTTATGAGCTTTCATTTCTAGACCCGAAATGGGCGTTTAACTGTAATGATGATTTCACTGCGAATGACTGCACTCCTAGCGAACAAGGATGCAAAATTTGAAAACATTTGTTGTTCCTCCGTGAATGTTTTGACTGTCTCGTAATTATGAGCCGATGAGACTGAGGGCGACTGAAAAGAAGCTCAAAGAGACGTTTCAGTTTGGCATAGTTTCTCTTGTTGAGAAAAACTCTAAAGGCTCCATCTGTGGTTTGGTTTCAAACAGTGCCGTTGCTGTCAGAAGCGAGCAGAAAGCAAGAGAATGAAGGCGGAAGAGACAGGGATTGAGCAAGAGAAGAAGAGAAATGATGTGTGACAGGGGTCATCCACAGGCCTGATGGAAAAGACTCCCACTGTAATCAAGTTAACACTGGTTAATCAACTAGGGCCAATCAAGTGAGACACTCATCCTCAGCGATCAGGGCATATGAGTGGCATGCATTTGCATTTACTTAATGGCAGTCCATTTAAAGATGACAGTCACGGCCATTAAGTTGATGTTAAAGCTGCTGCTGAGAACCAGAAACTGAAAAGAAGCTAAAACAGCTCTGTTTGACTTCCCTTTCAGCTAGAGGATCATTTCTATGATTGACTGCGCTTGTAATGCAGGAGAATGACAGGAATGAGAAAAATGGAGAGCAGATATATCTTGCTATAAATAAAAAGGGCAGTTTGTAAATTCATGCCGCAACCTCCTGCCAAGAGCAATAATTCAGTATGTGTGGTTTCACTGTTTGACCACAACACCTCTTTTCTCTGAACGCAATCATATGTGTTACCATGACAGGAGGTAGGCCATGGCGAATCTGTGTTTGAAGCGTGTGTCGTCACTGGCGTGAACCGACCTCATCCCATCTTTTCAGAAACGCCCCCTGACTGTTGTGTTCCCTTGTCACTTTTTCCAGGATCCAGCAGCCAGCTATGATTTCAATGACAATGATCCCGACCCTTTCCCCAGATATGACTCCACTAATGAAAACAAGTAAGTTAATGGCACTGGTATTCTCACTGCTTCATCTGTCTTTCCTTTGTTTTTTTAACAAAATAGGACTAACTCTTCCTCCTGTCACAACCTGGCTTGTAGAGCCGGGACAAAAAGATGGACACACCGTTTGCCAATTTAAACATTATCAGTTACAACAACTGAAATACAAGCTAATGAGGTGTGTAAATCAACAGGATCAGTGGGGTAGGGTGTGCATGTATGAAAAGATATTGCAAGTGTTGTAAATTTAGTAAATAACCAAAAATGAAAGAAAAACAAGTGCAGCGCACAAGCGGGAGTTGAGAGAGTGCCAGATTTATAGTCTGGAAACACAAGGTCCAGGTGTAGCAAAGACTTGAAACACATGAGAAAAGACTGAAAACAAGGGGCAGGGGTCGTCATACGTAGTTTAGCAGTGTAAATCCTTTCCATAAACAGAGTGTTTCTGCAGTAGCTTCAGATAACGGCAAGAAAATTGAAAAACAGCGCTCACGTTGGACTCACTTTACTCCTGTTTAGGTTAACAATCCTCCCTCTGCCAGCTGCCGCACACGCATGCACATCCACACACTTTATCCTCTGCCAGCAACCCCGAGCTCCTTTGTTATCAGAATACTCCACTCCAGTTCAAAGCCTCCTGGATGAATTGGAGCCAGTCAAACAAAAACACCTCTGTTTTAGCCTCTGCTCTAAATATGAAATTCAATGAGATAAGTTATGTAACTAAACAAGGTAGTGGGTAATGAGTGTTGTTAATTAATTGTGTTTTTCTTCTCAGGCATGGCACTAGGTGTGCTGGGGAGATTGCAATGCGGGCAGACAACAATAAATGTGGGGTTGGAGTGGCCTACAACTCTAAAGTTGGAGGTAAGAGGTTTAGTTTCCCTTTTTTTAGATCCACAGTAGACAGATATTTAGGGGAAGGAGGGAGGGGAAATTTATAGATTTATAGATTTATAGCTAGACTGTTGTAGATCTCTCCTCTAAGAGAGGGGACAAGGCTCATGAGTGCCAAGAGTAAATGATGATATTTGTTCTCTATTCAGGATTAAAACATCACTCTTCCCTTTTAAAATCCCATTTGGGCTTTTTTTTTCTTTAGATTTCCTGATGTTGACACTCTGCTGAGAGATGATTGAGGATTTTTGTCCAATGACAAAAACATTTTGACCCAAGTTTAATTATTCATATATTTATTATAAGCCACCTCTTACAGCATCTTTGTCTTTGTGTGTAAAACAGATATTAACCCAAATGTTAAAAATATACCACGTTAAGAATCTCAACAAAGTTGGAACACATGTACCACTGTGAAGCAATCCCGTCCTCTTTTAATGTTCTTCTTAATGTTCTTAGTCAGGATGCAAAAGAGCAGAAATGGCCGGGGTTTTTTTCAGTACTCTGGCTGCTATCCTGGGATTTTTGTTGTTTTGGTTTTATTTTAAGCATGTGTGGAGGAAAGACTTCCTGATGGAGGCCTGATTTTGATACCAGATGGTTACATAATGTCAATCTACAAAATTACTCAGCTCCAATCCACTGAAACAATGATCTGCATATTATGGCTCAAAAAATATGAATGGGCAGCAGCAACATCATCTTTAAAATCTAAAGAGAAGAGTTTTATTCATAGCAAATTAATTAAAGTCTTTGACTTTTCTTTCTTTGTTTTAATTAAACCATAATGAATAGTCAGTAACTGACAGTAAGCCCAAGAGTCTGGACACCGCTCTGACCTTCCCGTCTCACTCTGCTCAGGGATTCGTATGCTGGACGGGATTGTGACCGATGCCATCGAGGCGAGCTCTATTGGGTTCAATCCGGAACACGTGGACATTTACAGTGCCAGCTGGGGACCAAATGATGACGGCAAGACAGTGGAGGGCCCTGGTCGTCTGGCGCAGAAAGCTTTTGAATATGGCATTCAGAAGGTATATGATCCAACTGGGAGCTTTGAAACACATTTGGCATTCCTAATAGGAGCTGCTATGTGCAGCAGAAAGGAAGTGTGATTGGAAAAAATCAATATGGACAACATAATTCGTTCCTGAGAATAAAACTGCTAATGACAAAGTGCCATGACTTCCAGTTTATTAGCAAAGATTGGCAGCGGACAGCACTGATTTACTCTCAGACTGCTTTTGTCAAAATAAGACAAAAACTTTTCACATGAAATTTATTACACCCTACACCTCTAAATAATTCATTAAATGCCAACATTTATATATTAGTGTGTAATCCTATATGACAGCATTACAGTGTTTGTACAGTGTCTTATTAGGAGTATAAGCTACAGGGCAATATCTGATAGCACAAACCCAAGCTGTGCTTGCTTTTGTCTTTCATGCCTTCTGTAGGGCCGTGGTGGAAAAGGCTCTATCTTTGTTTGGGCATCGGGGAACGGCGGCCGCCAGGGTGATAACTGTGACTGTGACGGCTACACAGACAGCATCTACACTATCTCAATCAGCAGTGCCTCCCAGCAGGGCCTGTCCCCGTGGTACGCTGAGAAGTGCTCCTCCACTCTGGCTACGGCGTACAGCAGTGGAGACTACACTGACCAGAGGATCGTATGTAACCATGTCTGTTTGTGTCACATGTAAGGTTAGATTGTGGCATGATTTTCGTTTTAACGTCATTTGTTGCCTGCTTGGTTTTCAGACCAGTGCCGATCTCCATAATGAGTGCACTCAGACTCACACTGGAACTTCAGCTTCTGCCCCGCTGGCTGCTGGAATATTTGCCCTGGCACTGGAACAAAAGTATGATCTAAAATTTGAACTCATTTAAAATATATTCATGCCATTGACAGTTTAAGTATTATTAAATGCTGACTGATCTCACTACTCAGTCCTGACCTTACCTGGAGAGACCTGCAGCACATCGTGGTCTGGACATCAGAGTTTGATCCTTTGGCCAATAACCCCGGCTGGAAGAGGAACGGAGCAGGGCTGATGGTCAACAGCCGCTTTGGGTTTGGCCTTCTCAACGCCAAAGCCTTGGTGGACCTAGCTGACCCGGCCACTTGGAAGCATGTGCCAGAGAAGAAGCAATGTATAGTCAGAGATGATTCTTTTCAGCCAAGGTGTGTAAAATTTTACAGCTGCTGCTCCATTTGTCTGCATGGTGTTAGTTTTATTTCATGTTGTAATTTATTTTTTTTTAATTATTAATGGCAACAAAAGGACAAGATTTTTTGATCAAATGATGCATGATGATACTAGCTGTATGACACGTGCACATTGTAACTAATATATCCCGGACATGATCGTGATTAAGTCCACCACACAATCCAACAATCATTTTCAGTATCTAATTTTAGATATACAGAGAGAAAGCTTGTTCCCTTTTGTCCTGACATGTTGATTCCAGCAGAGCAAACAGACAAACCCATCTGTGTTATTAAAGACACATCTGTTACTTGTTGATTCGAGTCATGAGAATATTAAGTCTTAAGCCTGAGCGCAGGAGATTTCTTTGCAATGAAAACGCACGAAAGCCACAGTCATTTAAATTTTATGCCAGCCTTTACCTTTACGTTTACCTGTTTGTTGAGCATTGGCATTAAGTATTCAAATACATAAGCTACCAGCCATGGAGAAAGTAAAAAAAAAAAAACACCTTCCATTCCCTCTATCTCACTAGATGTCATCTTTATATTAACAAGAAATCGAAGAAAATTGATCCGTCATTGAAACTTTTAAGAGCATATTGGAAAGACCGACAGGCAGCCGAGGTCAGCTGAGCTGTGTCTTCCTGAAAGTGTCTGTTCTGCAATTTGCTTTGGATTATAGGACTCAATAGCACCCAGTTTCCCCATTACCGCCCAACATCCATGTTTAATCCCGGGGATTTGGCTTTACATTTCCGTCAATGCTTAGTGGGCTACAACCCCCCCTCCATCTTTATGCCAGCTTGAACACGGAAATCCTTTCATTCATGTCTGGGAGAGATGGGGATTAGCTTTTTTATTTTTTTTATGCAAATAAACGAGCAGAGGTTTCAAATGCCTCATATGCATTTTATATGTGCATATATATATGTGTCTGAACTAACTATAAACTGATATGCAAGCTGTGCAACTAAAGTAGTGCAGGATTTTGTTGTTGTTGTTGTTGTTGTTGTTGTCGTTTTGCTTGTTTTAGCTGAGTTACCTGCAAAAATGAGAAAATGTCACGTATGATCAATTTTTGTCGTCATGAGGAGCTGTTTGCTGCCTGCTGTTTCACTGCTATTTTATTGCATCCCGCAGGGAGCTAAAAGCAACGGGGGAGATCACTATAGAGATTCCAACTAAAGCCTGTGCAGGCCAAGAGAACGCGGTCCGCTCACTGGAGCATGTGCAGGTGGAGGCGAGCATTGAATATACCAGGAGGGGGGACCTACACATCACACTCACCTCTCCAGCTGGTTAGAGACACGCACACAAACACAAATAACACACGCGAGCGAAATGACAAAGCTCTCAAATAATCCCTTTTGGCTTTTCCCTCAGGGACCAGTACAGTGCTGCTGGCAGAGAGAGAGAGGGACACATCCTCTAACGGCTTCAGAAACTGGGACTTCATGTCCGTCCACACATGGGGGGAGGACCCTGCTGGTACATGGACCCTAAAAATCACAGATACTGTGAGTTAAGAATGTATATATATATATATATACTTATATATGTTGTGATGAAAATCTTCTTTCTACATGTATTCCCAATACAAATTCCACTCTCTACTATAAGTAAAATTAAGTCTTTTTTATATATTATATATATTTTTCAAACCTTACCCAGTCCGGCCGCATGGAGAACAAGGGTCGGATTTTGAACTGGAAGCTGATCCTTCATGGAACATCAGAAAAACCGGAGCACATGAAGAAACCTCGAGTGTACATTCCTTACAATGCCGTGCAGAACGACCGCCGTGGTGTAGAACATATGGATGACATGATGGAGGTGAGTGCAAGTCCAACATAAATTAAAACTGCAGGTGAATCCCTACGAAGGTTTGGATGCTAGACGATTGACAGACAGTAATAAGTGCACAAAGGAACAGATCAAAGCATCCATTTAAGATCAACTTGAGTCGAAAGCGCGAAGTTTAAACTATGTACCAGTTTTTAATTCTAATAGTGATTGGCAGCTTGATGCATATAAATCCTACACCACAGAATCGGTTCAAAGCCAACACGATAACCGTGCTTTTGTTGTCTATTTGGTCGACAAATCTTAGTGTAACAAACACAGAAGCTTTTCAGATGTTTGATGATGTAGTAATGATCCTGTTAACTATGTAAAAGAATCCATGCAAAAACAAGAAATGTTCTGAATCCCAGTCAGTGTTACATTTCAGATAATCTCAAAAGATGTGTGGGAATTGAGCATTAGACTAAGTTTGAGAGCAATTGTTGGTGCTGCTCTCCCAGCAGCGCGGGGCAGCATTAGATTAGGGTTAGCACATTTGATAACTTAGACCTCAGAGGGTTAAACGATAAGGAGATGACAGGAACCTTGTTTAGATCTGATAACAGATGTTGTTTTATTTCAGCTAGCCTGTCTACATCTGCAAAGCAGTGATACAGGGATCTTGTCCATAGAAACGATTTTTAAACATATTTTACGACCCACAAGAATCAAAACCAAACTTTAGACCTCCTCATTGGATTATTCTGGTATCACTGTGAGTGTGCCAAACTAATGGCTAGCCTCCTTTCTCTCTTTGTGTCTGCTGTTACAGGAACCAACACAGGCCCAACCTCAGAAGACTGAGAATGCCCAAGCCTCTCCTAATAACTCAGAGAAGGAGATCAAAAAACCCTCAAATTCACCCTTCTCCCCCTCCCTTGCTCTGCTGCGTCTCCTGCAGACGGCCTTCAACCGGCAGACCCCAGCGCTGCAGCAGTCTGAGCCCATTGCCAAGGCCTGGAGGAAGCAGCAGCAGCTGGGCCAGAGCTTCTCTCCCCCTGCTACGAGACTCCCGCCTCAGAAGCTGTACCAGGCTCTGGACATGATCAACAAGTACCGGAGCCCTGAGGACAGTGTCTACAGTGACTACAGTGACGGCTTCTACAGCACCAAGCCGTACAGGCACAGAGATGACCGTCTGCTCCAGGCCCTGTTTGAGATGCTCGACGATGCCCGCAAGTGAAAGTCTAACAGAGCAGTGAGGAGATCTAAGTGGAAGAGACTGTTGGTTTGGGAGCTGTGGAACAAGGTGAAACGAAGAAGGCTGAGACCAGGCACTGGGAGAGGAGGAGGAAAAAAGATACAGAAAAAGAGAGAACTCTTCCTGTTCTGTTGTTCCCCCCAAAATGCTGCATATCTGACCTATTAACCTTCACTTGCCAATCACCTTTTGTAAACAGATATTTAAATTCCTTCATTCAGTGCATAATGTCCAAATGTGATTCAAAGCATCTGCTTTATCTCCATGTAGTGAAAGTAAAAAAAATCATTTACACCAGACGAAAAGTGGAGTTGGTGGTGGTGATGGGGTTGACGGTGGCCTTTTCTCTCATCTCTTTACTGCCTGCTGAAGCATGCCACCTTTAGAATCTAAGTTTTGTAATAGTAGCTATATATTATCTATATATTATTCAGAGACATGGATTGTAATATGGATTTGTAATTACATCAAAAATCTTGACATTCTGATTCAAAAATCCCATTTCTACAGACTTTTTTTGGCATTGTCCAAAGTTTATGTCAATATGTTTCTCACTACAAATTTATTTGCTGTAGGGGACAAATTGATCCTAATTCAAATCAACATGAATTTAAGAGTGAAATTAAATTTGAATTCGATTAGTCATTTGAAAAGGTTTAAAAGTGTTGACTAAAGATTTATTCTCAGGGTGTCAGCGAACCTCAACAGAGGACTTTTCAAAGTATTTAGAGAAATATATTTAGTGTGACAGATTATTTAGTGTAAAATGATACAGATGACACGATAATACAGACGAAACATTAAAACTAGAAAAGATTATGATAGCAACAAATGACTGAAAGAGCACTGGAAATCTTTTCAGTTGGAGCGAATTACAGATTAATCTTCTTGTGCAATTTGTTTAATTTTGTATGAGTATAATGCTGCATTAAATTAAATATTTTTCTATGGATACCTTATAGGTTATGAAACAATATATAGAGTCTCAAACTATTTATTTTCTCGTGACACAGTTCAGTAAAGTCAGTGTAGTTATAATCACTGCAAATGAGCACTGCCAAAAATCCTGCTCTTACAAAGAAGCTCCTGTGCAAAAAGCTCTTTAATCAGAATTTGTAATATGCCATCTATAAACAGTTCTGTGAATCCTGGACACAATTATTATTATTTATTTTTTTTGCATTATTATTTGCAAATAAACCACTTCTCTGGTGTTGTTTGATTTTAATCAATCTATTGACTGACCAAAAGCTGTGTAGAGTAGGGGCTCTGCAGTACAACTCTTAAGCACATTCATGTTGAACGCCTTAAAATATGCTGTAACACATGTGCATACTCATCTCTATGTGATGTAGGTTGGTTTAGAGATGCTAGTGTAAGTGTTTATGACATAAATAGCTATGAAGTTCTTATGCAGAGTCCCTACCCTCCAGCTTGGAGCTGCCCGCCCCCACTGCTCTGCCAGCACAGTGACAGGAAAACAACAATGTTTGGAAAAACACTTTACATGCACCCTGTAATTTAGCCATTCTTTAGTGTAGTCCATGCTGTTTCCTTTATGTTTTAGTTTCTGGCTGAGACTTCAGGCCAGAGTTGTTTACACAAACCAATGTTATGTTGTGATATCTGTATGGGTGTACAAAAAATTATTATTATTTATCTTAATAAACTGCAAAGTGACTTCTTGTGTGTGTTTGAGTCTCTGGCAATAGGTTAGGGCCACCTTGCTAATACTGAGTTGGATCTCCCTTTTTCTTTCTGCACTGCTGTAATTCAACAAGGTGCTGCAAAGATTCCTCACAGATTTTTAGTCCATATTGACATGAGAGCATCACACAGTTGCTGCAGACTTGTTGGCTGCACATCCATCATGTGGCTCTTCCATTCCACCGCATCCCAAAGGTCTTCTATTGGTGACCAATGGACTTTTGAGACAACCTGGGTACAATAAAGTCATGCTCCAAAAACTAGTTTGAATTTTTTAAAGGTTTGTGACATGGTGCATTATCCTGCTGAATGCAGATGACTACACTGTGGTCATAAAGACACGATAACGATCGCTGACAATACTCAGGTAAGCTGTGGTGTTTAAACGGTGCTCAGTTAGTACTAAGGAGCCCAAAGTGTGCCAAAAACAGACATTCCTCACACTATTAATTCACTAACAGCAGCCTGAACCATTAATACAAGGCAGGATGGATCCATGCTTTGATATTTGCTTTACAGCTGAACATTAGATAGGTTTCCCAATAGATAATCAAGTCCAGATTATACTTTATGAAATCTAGAAATCAACATTATTGAACACATGAATCACAATTTCAAGGAGGAACTAAAAGCACTGAATTTATTGCCATGTGATTGCGTGCAGCTGAATAACTGTTGAGTGTACGACTACATTGATATTTTGTCCAGAAACACAAGCAGTGGGTGCAGATTAACCAGCGGATGCACTTTGGATTTTTCTGAAAAGCTTCTCTTTTTGAGGCTCAAAATGAACATTCATATTTTTCTTAATGGAAGTAAATTTAAGCCATACAATGCTAACACTCACTTAGCCATGTTCTGTAAAGAACAGTATTGCTATTTATAGAACATGACTAAATCTGCTGTTTAATCCACAAACCTTCTAAAACCTTCCAATAGTTGATTTATCAATTTATTGTCATATAATTGTGGTTTCCTGAGACTAGAGACTCTGGAATCCCCTAGCTTGTCTTTTAGCACTAGAACTTGCATAAGCAGCTTTTACATTAAAAACTGGTAGAGGCATTTATGATACCCAGAAAATAAATAACTAAAATAAATTAGTGTAGTGTTGCTTAGTCTTCTGTGATCCTGAACTTATAAGTGATCATATCTCAGTGTAGGGACCAAAGCCCTGCATTGACACCTCGCACTGAAATTACAACTTGCTGAGAATAGAAAATCTGAAGGAAATGAGATTTTCATGCACTGTCTGTCTAAAATCTACAATTTCTTTTAAATTAAATAGAAGTACTAATTGTCCTAATAAGTTCTATTTTGTTAATTTGCACTGAAATGGGGCCACTGAGCTGCATATGTACACTGTCCAGATGTGTTTTAAACCTCATAAACATGCATTAAACCCATAAACATTCAAATATTTGCTTCAGTTACTTTATAATAACCCTCTTTAATTGCTTTTTTTTTCATGTGAGAGTGACAATGTTTTGTCTTATTGTATGATACTTGTTGCAACAATGCAACAAGCAGTTAGAGCAGCTTCTGTCACTGGATTTGATATTGAATAGTGCCACCTTGTGGAGCAGAAGGAGAAAGGATAAGGAAAAAATGCCTGATGCCTGCTGTATGACTTATCTGTGCAAATCTTGAGATTTAAAAATGAATTTGAGGAAGTTGTCCTTCTATTTTGAGTATCCTGTACTGTCTAAACAGAGGGGAAGAAGGAAAGAAGTGTGGGTGTAACACTACCTTTTAATGGTTTTCTTGCCCTGTTATGTCTTACTCTCCTCCCCTCATCTCCTCCCATTTCCCTCTTTTCCCTTCACATCTGGCTACTTTGGTTTTTCTCCAGAAGTGAATACTGCAAAAAGCCTGAAGAAGAATGTGAGAGGGGGGAGATGAAGAAAGGTATGTGAAGAAAAAGGAGAGGAAAATATTATAAACGCAGCGAGAGAAAAATACAAACCATAGGGAAGATGTGGGAAAACTGACCCCGAAAAAAAGTCCTGGTGGAAAAACAGTGAGTTAAACAGTAGATTTCCAGGAAGAGACAGAGTGAGCAACAGAGAAACACAAACAGAGGAGCAAAAAAATAGTGCCTTCGGGAAAGGCTCTGCGTGTTTTACCACCAGCAGGTCACAGTATGGCACTGTTCCCTTTCTGCAAGGCGTCATCAGGTTAGTGCAATATCTATGACCACTGCTCCACCTCTTCGACTGATGTCAAATCTGGTTGTTTACGCCTGATTGATTTGTGCTGTATTTATGTACGCTAAAACTGGATTACTTTTAAGATGAAGAGACTCACATTGAATCAAGCAGAAAGAAGAACAGACATAAAAAACTTGCAGTTTTTTAAACCTATCATGCGATACAGAAAAATGTTAGTTTTATCTCGTGCAGTCCCATGTAATGTCAGTCTTTCTTTGCATCTGTGTGTTTGCCTTTCAAGCAGGACCAATCAGAGTGAGCAGAATACAACTAGTCCTGTGCTGTTTTCTCCTGTCTCTTATCATATGTAAGTGTACAGAATAATGTGTTCTGCTCTACCCCTTTGTGTCACTGCATACACCTAGAAGAGTACACAGTAAAAAACCTCAGCTGAGTCATGTGCTCAGTAAAACACACGCTTTTAATTAATTTCCACAGAAAAATGTTTATTTTTTTGCTTTTGGCTTCACTTGGGACAGATTGCTATGAATCATCTCCTCCAAATATTTTGCGCATAGTACAAGTTACAAAGTAGAAGTATATAAGATCAGTTTGCACTGCACAAATAAGCGTCTGGTGTTTCCTCCTCAGACTACCTTCATGGCAGCAGAGCTGCTGCCAGAGTGCACCCAGCTCACCCTATATTTCATCCCTTGGAAATGGACAGGGGGAGAAAAGTGACAGACATGGAGGTGCTCAAGGGAGCAGAATCGCAGACTCCTGCAGAGACGCCATGGGGTGCTCCCTTGGTGTGGGGTGACAGCCGCCACTCGGCATCGTGCAGGGCTAAATTTGCACAACGGGAAATGCGCATAGGTCTGCTGGCCTTTGTGGTGGGGACTTATGCCCAGTTCATCAGGCGTTTCCTGTACTCGGCTGAAACCTACTTTCTTCCTGGTCAAGTAGTCACATACTACATCCTCACAGATAATCCCCGCTCTCTGGATCCCCCCGTCAAGCTGGGGCCTGAACGAGAGATGAAGGTGGTTCCTATTGCCGAGCTGCCCGGGTGGGAAAGGCTGGCTCATCGTCGAATGACCCTTCTTGGTGATGCCATCCGAAAATCAATTGACAGTGAGACTGATTACATCTTCTGTGCTGATGTTGACCAGGAGTTTGTTGCTCCTGTTAGAGCGGAAATCCTTGGAGACCTGGTGGCTACACTGCACCCAGAACTCTATGGGATGCCAAGAAATGCTTTCCCTTATGAGGATGATGAAGGCTCATCAGCTTACGTGGAGGAGGATGAAGGAGACTTTTACTACACCTCTGAGTTTTATGGCGGGGCGGTATCTGAGATGTACAAACTTGCTCTCGCTTGTTCTTTGCTCATTCTTCAGGACCACGCTGATGGGATAACAGCCAGGGGCCTAGAGGAGAGCTACCTGAACCGATACCTGATTGACCACAGGCCGACCTGCGTGCTGTCCCCAGAGTACAGCTGGTGGGATTCTGACCTGTCTGCTCAAGTGCCTGTACATAGGCTGCTGTCCTTGGGAAGGCAATGTGAGTCTTATAATGATAAGCAGAGAGAAGAACACAAATGTTGATTTTTTTTTAAATGAAAAAAAAAGACCCATAAATCTACACAGAGGACTGTTTCTATTGTTATATCTGACTGTGCTGTTATGACAGGACAGATGATGGAAAGAAAAGATAACGGAGGGGCACATACTGCAGTTAACGTCACAATTTCCATTTAACTGTTTGTTCTATAGGCCAATAAATGCAGCCTGCAATCACACCAGAGCAAACTGCGCAATCTGCACTGAATTAAAGATCCATTTGGGGGAACGATCCCCTGCACCTCCTATCTCTGCCAGAGCAGACAAAAAGAAATTGACCTGTCTCTTTAAAAGGAAAGTCCTGTCTACTCCATTAATGTCAGCCTCAGAGATACTGCTCCATTGGCTTTGTGGTCAGCAGCGATAAGAGTCAACAGAGTAAGTGCACTCTTTTCCCCACAGTGGCCAATCATTAACGAGAAGAGCTGCTGTTTCAAGGTTTTTAAAGACCAGGTGGCTGAAAATGGACACAACAGGATGCTGTCTGCCCAGATTGCACGTGTCTAAATTTGAGCTTTGTGAGAGTAAATGTTTTTGAAAATGTTTCAGGATGTACTGAATAGTTTCCACTATAAGCTGGTTTATGACTTGGAGTAAAAAGCAAACTCAAACGACCTGATGGTGGTTGTTTTGTGTTGTCTGTGCCTTGGCCTTTCTCGCTCTCTCTCATTCACACACACACACACACACACACACACACACACACACACACACACACACACACACACACACGCGCACAAACATACACCCACATTCTCACTTTGCTTTCTTTTCCATGTGTGCTGTGTTTTAATGGGAGGCTTAAACAGCAGCAGATGTTTTCTTCTCACTGCCAACAGAATCTGTCCTCGGGGCCAGACCGCCACGTGGAGTGAAGTTGAAGGTGGATTTCAAATAATCCTGCAATACAAGCCATCACGGCTTGCTACCTGCATGTTTTTTGACTCATTACTGGTATTCAAATTGGAACAGAATTACTCAGTGGACTTTCTGTCTCATAACACCCTGCTTTCACATATCGACAAATGCACAGAACACAAAGTGATTTCCGTGTGCAGAGTTCCTCAACATCTGGGGCTAGTTTCACTAAGACAGACTGACTGTGCCTTACATCTAAGTAGTCAAATTAATGTACTGAGAAAAAAAAAACATCTTGAGTATTTTTTTTTATCTTTTTTGAAGCCACTATCACTGTGGCT